GCCAAGGGCGAGGGACGCTGCCCTGGGCCACGGCCGAGCCCGGGTGTCCGAGCCCGCCCCTAATGTCACCTCACGATCCTCTGAAGGGCGCAGGGTCTCGGCAGCGCAGACCCGGGGCTGCAGAGCTGCACCCAGCCAGAGGATGCGGCGCGGTGCGAGGATGCTCCCAGCCTCCGCTGGAAGGGTCCCGCACAGCTCTCCCCGGGGACAGGAGCAGCTCTGGAGGCGGAATGTGCCGCGGCATCCCCGTGAGCCCCGCGGGCACGGGGACCAGCACCGGAGGCACACGGTACCGGGGCAGCGGGACCGGCCGGCCCGGCCCCACCCGCCGGGGAATGGCCGGGGCAGAGCCGAGCCCGCCGCAGGGAGCGGAGGGGAGGGGAAGGGCTGCGGGGGCTCCCCGGGCGCCCGCCCGCGCTCACCGTCGATGTTCTCCCGGTCGCTGATGTGCTGCAGGTTGCAGCCCGTGTCCTCCCGGCTCAGCTCGGCCTCGGGGCGGTAGGACTCCAGCCGAGAGTGGGCATTCCGCCGCAGCTTGGGGCTGGAGGAGACGCAGCAGGACGTGGTGTTCCCCATCTTCTCTGCCCGGCCCCGGCCCGGCCCGGCTCGGGAGGAGGCGAGGGGCGGCCGGTCAGCGGGGGTGGCGGGAAGCCATGGGCGGCAGCGGCGACAAGAGGGAGCGGCGGCGGGGGAGGAGGCGGCGGTTGCGGCGCCCTGCGGCTGCACTCGCCGGCGGTTCCCCCCGGCGGCTCATCCGCGGAGGCGGCCCCGCAGCGCGGCCCGCCGGCGTGGGCTGCGGCAGCTAAGCCGCCCTCCTCCGCGGGCGGGCAGCGCGGGGCCCGCCGGGGCACAGCCCCATCCTCCCCCGCCCCCGCGCAGCCGCCGGGCCCGCTCCGCGCACGCACCCACGCGGCAGCGTCGCAGCCTCCGCGGCAGCGACACCGCAGCAGCAGCGGCGGCGGCAGCAGCAGCCGCCCCGGGCGGCCCCCGCGAACCGGTTCCGGTTCAAGCGGGCGGTGACGCCTCCCGCCGGGCGGGCTGCGGGAGAGACGGCGACGGAACCCGGCTCGGCCGTGGGGCCGCCCCGGCAGTCACCGACGGAGGCCCCCCTGAGCCGCGGCCTCGGGGCTCCCGGTGCGCCGGCCCCTGGGTCCCCGGCCCTCCTCACTCGAGCGTCCTGCATACGGGCACGGACCCTCTCCCACTGCCCGGGGCTCAGCGCCCTGGTGCCGGGGGGAGCGGGCACAGACCCTCTCCCACAGCCCGGGGCTCAGCGCCCTGGTGCCGGGGGGAGCGGGCACGGACCCTCTCCCACAGCCCGGGGCTCAGTGCTCTGGTGCCACAGGGAGCGGGCACGGAGTCTCTCCCACAGCCCGGGGCTCAGCGCGCTGGTGCCACAGGGAGCGGGCACGGCAGGCGCTGCCCGTCGCTCCCGGTCGTTCCCCTCCCCTCAGGGGCCCGGCCGTGCCGAGGCCTCCCCGCTGCCCCCGGAGCTCCTCGGGACCCCCCGAGCTCCTGTCCGCAGCGGGGACCCCGCGGCTGCCCGGATCCAGACCGGAGCCCGAGCCCGGCTGGCCCCGCGCCTGCCCCGCCGTGGGGACCCGCATCCATCCGGAGAGAGTCACTGCTGTCCCAGAGATTTGAAGGGACTGCACGGATTCTTTGAGAACTTGTTAAACTCTCCTGTGGACTGACCGTCCCAAAAATAACACCACAGAGCAATGAGAGGGTGTTAAGTGCCCCTTTGTAACACCTTCCCTGTGTTCAGGGCTTTCCCTGTCAAAAATCCGGTTTTGCCCTACTCAAAGTCATGTTGAAGATGGGGATTGTGCATGGCTTTCATTAGTCTTTTTTGTTGTGTGTGTTTTTTTTTTTTTTCTTTAAATCTTTGTAATCTGAGCAAATCTCTTGACTGGTGGAGGTCTGAGTCATGGTAGTTGAATGAATACACTGATAATTTGACAAGAGAAAGGAACTTTTCTGTGTTTATAAAAGAAGCTTTGACTTGCAGCCCTGTGTCCAGGGAGCCATGACTTAATCTACCAGGCATCTCATGATATCTGATGTGTTCACAAGATCTGCTCAAGTCAGATGATTACATGAAAGGCTTGTAAGTTTTTTATCCTACTTTTTTTTTTCAGATCACACATTGCAAAGAAAATCAAATTTTTAATTTTCAACTGCCTTTTGAATGTTTATTGATGCAAATGTACTCTAGTGGAATACAAAGAATCAAGAAGAAAGAAAAATAATGTGAGTTTTTTTCAAAATCAAACTGTTATGGGGATGTCTTCTGTAACCAGTTTAGGGACACTCCCCTCCCCAAACATGGATGGGCAGTAGATTTGGAGTTACATCAGTAGATTTGGAGTTGCATTGTCCCTATGTGTTTGAGTAAGTCAAGATAGATTAGGGATAGGTTTAGCATCTTTTTTGTATTAGTGTATTCACTGCTTTGCATCCAGACAAAAGGAAAGTCTTTGCTGAGCTCTGGCTGCTCTCAGAAATGCTGTCTAGGAGGATGTCATGCTAACTAGTGCCTTCCAGCACCATGCCGTCCCTTGCTGAGGGCACCTCAGCCCCTCCACTGGAGCTCACCTGCTCTCCAGCTGAGCCTGAGCCTGCTCAGACCAGGCCTGACCCTAACCTGGCAGCAGGGGAGGTTAAATCTGAAATGGGCATAAGCAACAATCAGAAAATCTCAACACGATTGTTAAAGAATGCAATCATCTCTATATACACAACAGAACAGTAAGATGTTACTGAAATGCCTGGTTTACCACATTTTACAAGAGCACCTCAAGCTAGTGAGATCTCTGTGGAAGACTTGTCTGAGCTGCCCTGTTAAATTCCACCTTCCTGTAGGAATCAGGGACTTGTGCTCATTTGTGGCCTTTTCAACCCGTGTGACAGCTCCTAGGCCACCAGTGCCATTGTCTTTTTAGTTCTTTTTGGGTGATGCTAACTGGGCAACTCTTGGCTTGCACTATCAATCCCACCACATTTTTTCATAAACATTTCATAACCCCTAATTATTTAGAAACTTGTAACAATTGTAAATCTATTGTAGTAAAATCTTAGACAAAACTTCCAGTTTATACTTATTCTGCAATTTTCACAAGCTTTGAAACAAAACAGGCCACATAATGATGGAGATGGGTTATGAAGCTTGCTTCTCTAAATGTTTAAGTAGAGCTTAAAAAGACATGTTTTCTTTATTAGAAAGGATTGATTTAAGCTTTGTGTTTTATTTAAAACTAATATTATAAAACTAAACATTGTAATTTAATGTATTTAAAATTTGTGATCACTGGCTGTGACCATGTAATCACTGGATTTAATCACTAGATGTGACTATGTGATCACTAGATGGATGCCCTTTAAAATCCCTTCCAACCCAAACCATTCTGTATTCTATCCCTAGTTCTGTTATTCTGTACAGCTACCTATTTTCTCACTCACAGTCTTTCATTCTAAATTTTTACCTTTATTCCTCCTCTTTTCACTGTAGGAGCTTGCTGAAGTACATTATAATGACAAAGGTGCTAAAATACATATTTCAAATCAAAGAAAAGGGATGCTGCTCTAGGGTAATGGTCTCCTGCTGGTATATAAGAGCTGAGAAGAGGTGAAATATATACCATGAAAACATATTTAGGGTTTGATTATGATTATTTATTTCAGCTATCTGAAGTGCATGATGCAAATGTAACTGCATTATTTGATAAATATTCATACAGTAAAGCAGGAACAGCTCACTGCACCTTACTGACATGCTTAGAAATCAATGTATGTCCTTTGATTAGAGATTATTCTGTTCTTGAGATTTATGATTTATATATTTTAATGATTTTGCCCTCTGGAGCAACTGCATCAGCTGAGGAACACCACAAATCTCCCTAAACTAAGGCCAAGGCTTTCACAATTGGTCAGTGCTGACATACCTTTGTTTTAAAAGTGCTTATTCCTGCACAAAAAATATTTTAAATCTGCAGCATCTCCGCTGCACAGAAAACACTCCGCTATAGAAAAGGCAATGGATTTTAATTGGCTAAAATTAATGATGTGACCCATTGAATTTTGTGCTTGAAATCTTCCTGGAACATTGTCAAAAATGTGCTTCAAACCCTCAGATATAGGTCAGTGTTTTGCTTATATAAGCTTTTCATCTATTTTGAGCAGATAAAAATTAGAAGTATTATTTAATCCAAAAGTATTTCCTGCTCACAAACCAAATGATTTGTGAAGTACAGTTAAAGAAAAAAAACCACCAACAACAACAAAAACCCTCAAAACCATAAGATAGATGAGCGGTGATCACCAGATCTTTTGGTTCTGCTCATCTTTCAAATGCAGCCTGAGAAATTCGTGTCACACAATGCCTTCCCCACACCGCCATCTGATGTTTGGTTGGAGTTGTACTCGCAGGTTGGGTGTGCAGCCACTCTCAAATGCATCGTGTCAGTTCTCTCACAGAGCTAATCATTGTCTGGAGTTTAAGCAAAAGCTTAAAATTAACATTCCCGTGTGCAAAGTGTTCAGCCTGGTCAACTGAATCATACCCTAGACTTGGTTGATTGTAATAGCTAAATTTTTTTTACGATAGTAATAAATTCCAAATCAGTTAAAGCCAGTCATGAACACACCTGAGGAATGTTATTATCCCTCTGACAATTCTTATTGTTCATATATTTGCATTTATTGTTACAAGCCTGAATTCAGTAGTGTTAGCAGACTTCCTTCCTGGAGGCAAGTTCAGAATGCATGACACTTGATTCTGACCCAGGCTGTGTGGCAAAGCCTTTTGCTGTGCTGCTCCTCAAGGGAATGCATTCATGGGTCATGTCTTAGATTCCCTCCCTCAAGTATACTATGCACACAGACTACTCCTATGGCAGATTTCCCCCTTGATTCTTCCAGGGCTAAGACAGTATTCTCCTTCTTGGAGGTAGAAATCCAGTGCCTGCCAGAAGGCATCCTTTCAGCCCTGACACAAGTTATGTGCCAGCCCCAAGCCCTGAGCTGTCTCCAGACAGAGGAGGAGGGTTCTGTACATGGCAGAGAGCTGCAGCTACTGTCCACAGGAAAGACACCCAGGCACAACAAGGAGTATGAAAGAGATGGGACTGGGTTTAAAAATACACAAATGGTATCAGTGGAGTTATTCCTCTGGTGAATGGCACATTTGTTTCTCAGGAATCAAGTGCCTTACTGGAATCAGTGAGAAAAGGAGAAAGAGTAAATAAAGATTTGTTTTGAAGATGAGGGCAGAAACTGGGGCTATTTGATTAATGTATTCAACTTTAGGGCATAAATTGGGATATTAGCCTCATGCTAGCCCATGAAGGGATACTGTTCTAGGCAACAATGCAAAGCCCCAAGCCACACTCCTACTCTGAAGTGTGGCAGCCAGAGGACTCTGCCTATTGCCACTTACTGTACAGGAGGAAACAATCGCTTCAAGAAGGAAAGTGATACACCAGAGAGCGAGTGTTGGAGTACTGCCTGAAACATACATAGCCCAGATAAGTCTGTATTATCTTATATTGCAATCTTTTTTATTATTGCCATGTTTCTCACCAGCTTGAAATCACTGCAGAAAGAGGCAGTTTCCCCACAAGTAGGGGAAGATTGGTCATTGTTTTAGGGGTTACACTTGAAGAGCAACTGTGCTAGAATATTATACACACACACACACACACATATATATACATATATATGTAACTGTTCTTTTTTATTTTATTGTTTCTCCAGGGATTGAACAAGATAAGATGGGCACTCAAGCAGCCAGAAGCCCACACATTACACTTACGGGGGAAGATCACCCACAGTGCACAGACGTGCAGTGAGCTTTGGGAGGGAGGAGGCAGCTCAGCACAGTGTACCATGCATGCCCTTGCATTGTGGAGGAAGGCACAGGCAATTGGATTTAACCAGCTGGGTGGAATTTGATTTGATTAGCTTTGGCACAGTTTCACATACTCTCAATTCATCAGTGAATGGAGTAACTATATTGGAAAGCTACTGGGGAAAAACAACATTGCCCCTGATGCTACTGTCACAGGCAGATAGAGCACAATCCCATACAGCCTCACTCTGTGTTTTCCTCTCTTCATTGTCTCCCTAGTTAGTTTTTTTGTGCCAGTGTGTGTCTTCCTGTATCAGGATTGGCTGCCTTTTCTTGCTCTGAGATCTTGGCATGTAAAGAGCAGTCATTACTCCATGACTTGACTATGAGCAAGGGTGGGAGTGCCCCCTCTTGAACAATAAAACCCCTTGTAGAGAAAAGCCTAACTAAACAAAACAAAATGTGTAAAACCAGGCAGTGCTGCCACAAAGCACTTTGCTAGCTAGGGAGTCTATATGGAGTATGAATAAGAGCCTACTGTGTTGCAGTCTGTCCTGCCTGTGAAAGATCCCATTCTATAAAGGGGTACGTGTTAGTCTCTTCTTATTTCATACAAGTCTAGGCAAATACAACTACTTTAGTTTCAATGAAGCTGTGCCTAATCTCCACCAAGAATGAGAACTGAACCAGGCCCAGCAATTTGGGACAGCATGTTCATACAAAGCCATCTTCTCTCAGATTCATCTTGAGAAAATAACATCCCCTACTTTTACCAACTGTCAATACCTTGTAATTTTGAGTATCAGTAGTGGCAGCTCACAGTTAAAAACATTTTTATGTAGTATGAGCTTACAAGTCCTGTAATATGAGCTAATAAAGGGTAATATGCAAGTGATTGAAGTATTTTGAAACATGGCTCACCAGAAGATCATGTGTCTATCATGTGTCAGGCTGAGCTCTCTGTATGAAGAATATGAGGGAAATTCATTGCTTTATCTTACAGCTCCCCAGAAGACCATCCTTTTAAAGTAGAATAAAAAAAGTGTTTTGTTTGAAGGATAGATCTGAAGAAAAGTTATAGGTTTCAGAGACAGAGAATCAAGCTAAATATGGTGAGCTGTACAGACGAATCTCAGGAATTATTCCTGTGAAACACATTCTCAAGCTAAGTTACCCTAAGTATTAACATTTGTCTTGAGTGAAAATAGACTTTCATCAGTTAATTTTCAAATCAAGAGGTGAAATTAAAAAGTGAGAAAATTCTCAGTATGAAAATTAAATTGAAGCATCCAAGTTTTCAACAGAAAAGTGTCCAGGCATGAGCCTTTTTGATTTTTAGCAGGGTACTACAATTGTGAATACTTGTAGGAGCTCAATTGGAACTGTAGAGAGGCCAAAAACCCCCATGTATATGTCTAGAAAATACAGAAAATGGAAATATGGATCTGAAAGGTAAAGAACCAAAAATGAATTAATGTACTCAACAAATGATCAACAGATATGTAATTTTCAGTGTGTACTTCTTACAGATTTTGTTCCATTTCCTCATGTGGGAGGAATCCTATGTGGGATTAGGCAGGACATTTTCCTTTGACAAACAATGTAAGACTGAAAATGATGCATGAAAAAAGGCCAAAAGCTTTACTTGTGAATTCTGTCCACCATCAGTGGTCGTTGATATCAATGTTCTTTGAGTAGAAAGGCTACAAAATCAATAAAAGTAATAAAAACATTATTTCTTTGTATTCCAGAGTTCTTTCCCTCTCAATGAAAAAGTATCCAGGACATAGGCAAGCCTACAGAAATGAAATTGAGGTGTCCATGTCAACATTTAAAAATTTCTCCTCAAATACAGCAAAACCTGGCATGATCCTTAGATTAAGTTTCTGTTGGGGAAAGAGGGGAAGAAGAAAGTTTTCTCCTTTAGTCAGGTGAAACTCATGGGTATTTGTTATCACATTTTAAACTACAAACCCACAGAGACAGGACTAATGATTGTTTTATTTTTGAGGATAACCACACAGAGATATGCCCACAGTCAAGGAACCCAAATTCATTTTTCTGCTCTATTGCAGACTCTGCAGGAATTTTGAAAACCACTTAATTCCCATATGTCATATCCCTTTCAGTGAATGGAAATCATAGAACCTCACTATATGAAAGGGTTTTTTTAAGACTAAAATCTTTAAAACAGAAAGTTGTTCATGTGTTACAGGAAAGGGGACCAAGTAAATCAAATGGAGAGAATACTCTGTAATCACAGATGTGCTGTCCTCCCATGGTGCTCCTGACATGCACACCAACACTGCAGGATGCAGGCAGTGCCTACACCATCATTAAATTATTAAATGCTTGTCTGTTGCAATACATTTTTCCACTTGTGTAGCTTATTAACTTTGCTGTCACCATCACTCAACAAGCAGATACATCAGCTGATAGAAAAAATGCCAACATGAGGATAGCAAGTTCACAGGTTAAAAAAAGTCTTTCCTCTATAAATAGAGTTGGTATAAATCACAAGAATCTGCAAAATGGGCCTGGGAAAATTAGCTGCTGACCTAAAAACACTTCCTGTTGGCTGTCTGGGAATCCATTTCACACAGTTAAAAGTGACAAGAATTAAAGTACCTAAAGAAGCAGGACTTTATGGTGAAATAAAGAATAAATTGTCCTAGCAAATATGAAAAATAAACCAAGTGCAACTAATAAAAATACAATTATACTATTGTGCAAGTATTCTAAATAATCAAAAGGCAAAATGAGCCATACTTTTTAAACTCTTAATGAAGAAATAATTATAATATGTTTCAGTGTCCTGCAGTCCTTGTGGCAGCTCTGGAATTTCAGCAGCTGAGCAGCCAGCAGGCCCCATGACCTGCAGTTGCATCTGGCAGTGTGTGGTGGTTAAACAGGGAACTCAGCACAGCCATTTCTGTAGGAAACTGCTGACTAGCATTGGGAAGAATCTAGTCAATTTGAATTACTCTTCAAATTAAAGGGAATATAATTAATGAAGACATTTTGATCTCAAGGAAGGAACTAGCTTGCTGTTTTTCATTCAAAGTTAATGCTACCCTTCACTGCTGGAACTCTTCAGCTAACACTTCACCCAAGTGTCCTCTGCTGTCACTCAAAAAATGCCCCTTAGGGAGTGCTAAGGAAATTTATTCAGGAAATAAAATGAGGGCATTGAAACAGGGATTTTCTTAGGTCCAGCTCAGTGCATCACCAGGTTTATTGCAGCATACTTCTGTTGTGCTCATGCATGTGACACTTCTGTAACACCAATTAATTCAGTGATGAATTCCTCTTTACTTTAAAGCTACTTAACTAGAAATTATTTAGAGACACCAGATTTTTACATTCCAGGAACTTTGAACTGTCACATAATTTGACAATTAAGGTCTAAAGAATACATAAAAGCATATAACAAGATATGACTCTAAGTTGTAGCCCTCTAGATAAGCTTAGCTCCAAACAGAAAAAAAAGGCCTCCTCAAATTCATTTTGAAAACCAGAAAAATATATTGTGTAACACAGGACAGAATATCCATCTATAAACATATGCCCATATTCTTCAAATTTTGTAGTAAAACTCCTAAAATTGCAGAACAACCTTTCCAATAAATGGCAAAAACACATCAAAAAATACTTGTTTGTTTCTGTAATCTCTCAGTTAAAATAATTTCTCATACTGGGTGAATTACATGAATTATAAAATTTGGTACAAGACTGCAGAGCAAACTTCCTTCTTTGGAGTGCTTAGGCAATTCAGGTTAGATATTTGCAGCTGCCCCTTAAAGTCTGAAGACCAGTGAAATGCAATCTTTGGACTCTAATTATGTATTCAAGCTTACAAAGTCTCTAACCTCAACCTTAATTGTCTTTGTCCAAAATAAAGTTGCCAAAGATACATTTCACTGTTTAATATGGTGGATTATCCATTAGCATAATACAGTATTTTGTCTGAGTCTGTTAATTGGTTTCATGATTTTCCCAGTTGTTCAGACTGAGTTATTCTAAGAATTCACAGCTGGTATGGGATTGCCTACATAGCTAAAATATGTGTCTTGGTAATGGCTAATATTTCCAATCAAATACATGTTGGCAAAGTGTTTAGGCTCAGGATAAATCATTCTACTGGCCACAGTATAGCAAACAAAAGGAGAAAAAATTATACATTATGTCATGGAAAATAAATTTTATATCATTCATCTAGAGCATTAGGGCTCACAGACTCTTGGAGTTAGATCTATACCCTTAATCATGCATAATCCCATTGATAAGAGTTTAAAAAGTTTCAAAAACAAAACAAAAAACCTAAACCAGCTTTGCAGAGAAAAACTTCCCAGAATATTGACTGGGAGAAGCAGAAATACAACCACTGAGTTAACTGTCTCACTGCAAGTGCTCACTCTTCAAGATATCCATCCTGCTTTTAGATGTGCTTAAACTTAATGTGCAGTTTTGCAGGTGCCATCAGAGCAGTAAATGTGTCAGGGGTCCCTGTAGAATGATGCGTCACTAAAAACTGCATAGTAGAGTCTGTCCCAAGAGAGTCAAATCACTCTGGCCCAGTGGCTGCAACACTTGAACAAATGCACGAGGATCATTTCAGAAGGGATTCTTGCCACTCTGAGCGTTGGAGGTAAAGGCCTCCTTCCCAGTGAAAGTAAACAAGATCCAACAGCCTCATTTTCACTTGCACCACTGAAAATCTCAGTTTACTACAGATGCATCCAATATGCAGAATGTCTTCCAGATCCTACTAATGGCACACAAAGAATTTCAAAACGGCCAACACAGAAAGACACAAAACTGTCCCCCTCTCCTTTCCATGGAACAGCACATAACCAGAGGAGGGAAAAGCCTTATCTGCAATTCCTTCTCTATGCACATGAGTTGGGAACTTTTGCTGGCCCCGATTATAGTTTGCCAATTTTTATATTCATCTCCTCAAAAACACAAGATATACTGACACTCACTCTGAATCATGTGTTCACTCTTATAAAACCAGCTGATCTCCCACATGCAGGATCATGTCTGTTCTCCCTTGCCCACATTATTATTTGTATGGCCATACAGGAAGCTCAGTCAGCCTGTTCTGCTTGAAGGCAAATCAGGCAAAGTTTTCAGCTAGTTTCCAACCCAGCTTACCATGGAATTGCGCTAACATTATTACTGGCTCAGGAGAAGCAGTGGAAATATGTGACTGGGGAAAGATAGGGCTGTTTTCTGGGTCACAGTCTCACTCAAGGGACTTAAGTGACTGAGACAGAAGCCTAAATTTGGGAATCAGCTCCAAGAGCAAATATATTCTCATGAATCCTCCCTCTCACTACTCCTATACTGCCAGTTGCTTTTGCAGGAGATTTCAATGTTTTTTCTAAGATGCTGAAATAAAAGCAGGAGAGGATTTTTAATCATGTGAATTTGACTTGTGTCAGACAACTGTAGCTTCAGCAGTTTATCTGAAATCTTCCACTGTGCTGCTCTCTTTGTTTTGGTTATATCATTTGCTTCCACTTCAAGAACCTAGAACATCAGACAGCATTGCTGAGCACAGACCAAGAACCAGAAATATGTAATACAGATGCTAAAACCAGCACTGGCTTTTTATTACTCTGCCACATTTTTCTATCATGCTGGAAATAATAATTTTGAAATATCTCGTTTCATAAGCACAGTTGCTGGATCTCTGCTGGTGCAATACTTGAAATATATTTTTTAGAAATAGATGCAAATTTTTCTGCTGTGCCAAAGGAAAATTAAAATTGTAATGTTCTGTCAAAGGAGGAATTATATATTTTTTGACAAATTAACAATGTTCATGGAAATGAGATGCTATATAGCCAAGTGAAACTTAATCTCTTTTCATGCAGCTTCTCAGAAAGAAAATATTAACAGCTATTGTACAATCACTCACCCACTCCAACTTACTATTAGTTAGACAACATGTGAAAACTGCAAGCTACCTGATTCTACTTCCAAAGTTGTAATGTCATGCTAATCTTAACTTCTTGCAATCTACTTGAACATAAGAGGAGCTGTTACCATCACAAAACCAACAAAAATATGTTACATCAGGATATAACAAAGTATAATAAATTATAATAAATTTGAGGTGAGTTACCCTTTGAGGAGGGGCCTAGAATTGCAAGGCTCTCTCAGTTCTTCCTGACTTCCTTTGTGATTACAGAGTATTATTTGTATGTGAAGCCCTGGCATGAGAGTCCTAGAAAACTAATTTTCACAGATTTAGAGAACAAGCATAGCCTGGAAGAATTAAATCTTAGCTTCCTTGCAACTGTCTCAAAGTTCACTGAATTCTACCTGAAATAAGAGAAAAATTATTCCTTCATTTCTTGAAGTCTAGGTTAAGAATGGGCAGTTTTAGTTCTGAGCATTTTTAAGATAAAGGTACTTGTGTATTGTTCCATGTATCTCATTAATACTTTTATTTACAGAAATATTTCTTTTACCTTTTGCTGTACACATCTGGGACTTCAGCTAGAAATATTTTTACAGGCAAAGGCCAAAGTCTTTCAGATTGTGTCCATGATGTCTGCACCCAGATAAGTTCCCATTGGACTGATGCATTGCCCATGTCATCTGGCTGTCATCTCTATGTATATTGATTTTTCACATTTCCTGAAAAGTTTACAGCATTGTATATTCACAGCTGTGTATACCAGGTATTCTTGCTTTTTCTTGCTCCTGAAATCTGGGAAAACC